AGATAGATAGATAGATAGATAGATAGATAGATAGATAGATAGATAGAGACAGAAAGACAGATAGAGATATAGAGATATAGAGATACGTAGGTAGGTAGATAGATATAGACAGAGAGAGAGATGGATGATAGAAAGATAGATAGAGATAATAGATAATGATGATAGCTAAGCTATAGACAGATGATAGATAGATAGCTACAAATAGATATAGATAGCTAGAGAGAGAATGATAGAGATAATGATAGACAGATATAGCTAAAGAGAGAGAATGAGAGTGAGATATGATATAGAGATAGATCGATAGAATATCTTTATTGTCATTTTGAATATATACTAGTTGGCATACATTAAAAATGATGTTTCATTGCATGCAGCTTTTAAAGGGTCACCAACTCCAACTTTACACTACACAAACATGACAAGATAAATAAGTAAATACAGCGGAAGAGGTGGCAAATGAGAGGGAAAAACCCAAAATAGCCAGAATGGTGGTGAAGGGCACAATTGGGGTGCTTCTGCCAATGTGGAGATGGCTACATGTGGGGAGAATCAATCCAAAGTGCCCAAGTTTATTCCAACCACTTGGCGCAGGAGACGGAGTCAGGGGTGGCATTCAAATTTTTAACAACCGGTTCTGTGGGTGTGGCTTAGGTGGTGGGCATGGCTTGGTGGGCATGTTATTGGCAGGGCATGGCCAACTCAACATCACTCACATCGAGGCACGCATCTCCTCGCCTGGCCTCTCATGACTGTGGGAATGCTGCAATAGTCGTAAGTGTGAAAAATGGCCATAAGTCACTTTTTTCAGTGCCATTGTAACTTTGAATGGTCACTCCACACAAGCAAAATGCCAGCAAAGGAGGGGAAAAATACTCCAGAGAGGTTCCAGAGACAGGAAGTCCAGTCCTGCCAAGAATGTAACGGAGTTAACAGAGAGGCAGTTTCTGTAAGCAACCCCAGAATGTTTCCTTCCTGCCTTCCTTACAGGATTAGCCCAGTAATTTCTTCTAAAAACTGGTTCTCCGAACTGCTTAGAATGTTAACAACCGGTTCTAGGTGCAAACTGGTAGAATCCCACCCCTGGAGGGGGTGCTCCAACCAGTGGGGGCATTCAATTTTTTTTACTACTGGTTCTGTGGACGAAGCTTGGTGGGCGTGGTATTGCTTGGTGGGCGTGGCAGGGGAAGGATACTGCAAAATCCCCCTTCCCTCCCCACCCCACTAACCTGTTCTCCAGCACCATTCTCCCATGCAGGGCAACCAAAGAAGACCCAGCCGATCAGCTGGGACTCAATGGGAGGCAGAGAAGAGACGAGGTTGGCGGGGCCAGTCAGAGGTGAGATTTATGCTGGTTCTCCAAACTACTCAAAGTTTCCGCTACCAGAATCCAGAACCAGCTGGATACCACCTCTGGGTCAAACCCTAACCCCTTTTCACTCTCTACTGGGGTGGGGTGGTTGCAGCCCCCCCCCCAAAAAAAAATTCCATAGGGCACCTCGGGACACTCCCGCAGCCTCCAAGGAGCTTTCATTCCCCAGGAGTTCTCTGTCTCGGCCCATCCAAGAGCGGAGAAGGGAAATTTGGATGGCAGCCCTCCACATCTGGACTCTCACCTCTGGCCCTTCAGCTGCATCCGTGCCAGGTGACGTGGTGCCAGCGCAAAGAGATCCCAGCTGGAAACCCCTTTTGAGCAAAGGCAGCCAAGCTGAGGCTGTAGCCGGCGGGAAGGAGATGAAAGTCGCAGCCGGGGAG